GGGACAAGACAAAGGTGTTCACCACTTTCTCTGATCTTACTCAATATAGTGCTTAAAGTCTTAGCTACAGCAATAAGAGCAGGAGGAGAAAGAAAAAAGAGACAAGAGAGAATACAAATCCAAAGGAAAAGATGAAGTATACTGTGTATTTTTAAATGTTTCTAGTAGAGAGAATCTCTTGTAACACACACACACACACACACACACACAAGCTTATGGGCGATGAGCTGAGACAGGAAATAGATGAGACATCCAGCAGGGATAGAGAGAATTCTGGGTAAGAGTGGGAAGCCCAGGAGATTCCAGCTGGAATGCTGAGGAGCCCAAGGTATACCAGCAGGTAACTGAACTCAGAAGAGAATAAAGGTAAATTCACCCCAAACTCTGAGGAGATGGAAGAAAGAAGACAAGGAGAGAAAAGCAGCCATGTAGCTGAACCCAGATTAGAATAATAAGTTAAGATTAAGCCAGAGACAAGCCAATGCTTATGGCCTAGGCATTTATTAAACAGTCTCACCATTCCAGGAGCAGAGTCTAGGAGGAAAATCTCGACTTATTTTTTAGTTTCTTTTTTTAAATTTTATTTTTATTTATTTTATATTAATTTTACTTATTTATCATGGGCATTTTGCTTGTGTGTTTGTGCACAACATGTGTGCCTAACATGCTCCAAGGCAAGAAGAAGGCAGCCCTGGGAACTAGAGCTATAAACAGTCGGTAAACCACCACTTGCAGAGAATGAAATCTGGGTCCTCTGGAAGAACAGCAAGTATTCTTAACCATCCCTTACAGTCATTTGGCTTTGGCTTTGTTTTAAAATGTAAGCCCAGCTCTCCCTGAGTATCTATAGGCAGTTAATAGTTGCTGGGAGAGAGGCCTTTTTCCTTCAGTTGTGCATATTTGTGACCTATAAATGACTCTTCATCTATACTCCTATAACCCATTTTAAACTTGCTGGGTCATCCATCCCATAGAAGACAGACCAGACACTAGTAGAAGACAGACGATCAGAGGGAGTGGGACAAGAAAGAATACTGGAGAGTGAATATCACCAAAATCCATTATAGACATATAAAAAAAACAGTATTCTGTAAATAATCATAATAATACATGCTAACCAAAATATAGCCAGGCAGAATGTAGCAGGCCTACAGTCCCAAACTGTGACAGGCTACGGCAGGAGAATTACAATTTTGAAACCAGCTGAACTACAACAAGACATCATCTAAATAAATAAGATCAAAGAGCCATGCTGGGCAGTGGTGGTTGCACACGCCTTTAATCCCAGCACTTGGGAGGCAGAGGCAGGCGGATTTCTGAGTTTGAGGCCAGCCTCGTCTACAGAGTGAGTTCCAGGACAGCCAGGACTACACAGAGAAACCCTGTCATGAAAAACAAACAAACAAAGAAACAAACAAAAACAAACAAAAAAACAAAAACAAAACAAACTAACAAAAAGATCACAGAGTTATAAGCTCTGTTTTTTGGTTTTGCTCAATCTTTTGTTTAATGGAGAATCAAACATATATATACCTAGTTGTTGCAGGATATTTGAGCACACTGTGAACACACTGTGACACTGTGAACAGGAAAAACCTTTCTTGGTATGGCTCAGCCGTGGCAAACACCTTTAACCCAAGAGCATACTGTAAACAAGAGCTAAATTAAATCAACAGCAAGCAAGGAGTCGACAGGGAGTGAACATAAGAAAATCCAGGAAAGAGAAGTAGGGTTTCTGAGTTGACAGGTACTTAAGACAGCGAGAAGGAAAGGGCTTTTTCCAACTGGGACATTGGTGGAGTAGGAGGTGAGCGGGGTAGTTTCTCTGCCTCTCTGTGCTAACAGACTTTCACCACAGCACCTGACTCCTCAGTCTTCATTGGTAAGGCAAACATTTGAGATTTTGTTTTAAAAGCAACACCTGTCTTATATTGCCAGTCCTGTTTCAGATTTTAAAAATTTAAGAAAAAAAAATACTTAGTATTAAATGCAATGTATGAGCAACATGCTTATACTTTACAAAAAAAAAATTCTGGGCTGGAGAGATGGCTCAGCGGTTAAGAGCACTGACTGCTCTTCCAGAGGTCCTGAGTTCAAATCCCAGCAACCACATGGTGGCTCACAACCATCCGTAATGAGATTGGATGCCCTCTTCTGGTGTGTCTGAAGACAGCTACAGTGTACTCATAAATAAAATAAATAAATAAATAAATCTTTAAAAAAAAAAAAAATTCTACAACCTACAAAGAAAGTATGTTTCATGATGGAGATAAACAAAAGTGGTTCATTTAGTAACATTTAAAACAGTATTACTGTCAGTCAGTAGTGGTGCACAACTTTAGCCTCAAGACTTGGGAGGCAGAGACAGGTGGATCTTTGAGTTTGAAGCCAAACTGGTCTACAGAGTGAATTCCAGAACAGCCAGGTCTACACAGAAAAGTTCATCTCAAGAAACAAAAATTAAATAAAATAAAAAGAATAGTATTACCAAAATTTACAAATGTCTGCTGGATATAGCGTCACATGCCTACCAATTTCAGAATTTTGGAGGTAGAAGATCAGAATTGAAGGCTAGCCTAGTCTACAAAAGATCTCTTTAAAAAAAAAAAACAGAATAAAAAAATAAAATACCAAGGTATGCACAGATTATGAATGTTACATTTCAACGGAATAAATCATCTGGTTCCAGGACACATTTCAGTGTCTGACACACACACACTCATAGATACTCACGTCTCTTACATACAATGATGTAGTATAATCTACAGATATCTTCCCACATACTGATTCAACATTACCTGTAACACTTAATACAACGAGGTCTGTAAATGTTCAACACATGTAGCCATTTTTTTCTCTCTAATATTAATCTGTTAGTAGCCCAGGCTGGCCTGGAACTACTGAACCTCCTAATTTATTCTCTGGGTACTGGAATTATACATGTATATCACCATGCCATGCCTAAACATTAAAATCCAAAAGAATATAGGCAGGTAAAGTGTGATGCTTGTCTGTAATTACAACTACTAAGGAGGATGAGGCAACATGACAATTTAAACACAAGGGCTTAAGTCTTGCATGATGAGCAACAAAGAAAGAACCACTTTGTCTAGTGATGACGAATGAGGGGCAGCTTCCAATTCTCCTTACAACAGGGAGAATATCTCTTAAAGTAAGTAAGTGTAAAGACAGAGGGAAAGATCTGTCTGCAACACTCCCATCAATTCAACTATAGTATTGCTAAACATAGTAACATACTTTACAAGTCCTACTCTAAGGTAAGCTAATAAGTCTAATGATAAAATTTACAAAAGGTTTAACTGATGAATGTGCATAATAAACGTCAATTACTAATAAAATATAGAAATGTGGGTTGGGGATGTAGCTCAATGGCAGAGTACTTGTCTTGCATGCTTGAGGCCTTGGGCTCTACTACTAGCACCGGAGGGAGAAAAACAAAACAGTAGATTTAGACCTGATAACAAAAATTGTTCTACTTCTAATATATACTAAAAATAAAGTTCAATTATTGTTTTCAAATCCAAAATCTGGAGCTAAACAAATTGAATTAAATACAATACTTTAAATCTAGAATTTCACAACAATTTACAAAGGTTCGGTAAAATAAAAAACAGCATTCAGTTGTGGGAGGTAAGTGACAAGCACAACCACTAAACTCTATGGATTCAACAGTGTACGCCAGTAACCATCCTTCAATAACATGACAGAGCATACATTCAAATCAGTATGACCATGCAATGCTCATTTCTTAAACAAAACAATGCTTGTGAAATACCTCAACTAAAGACCAAATGCTAAGACTTCACACTGTAATAAGGTCTACCTACAGAAACATATCAGTTTGTAATTTCACATGGAATCTCTTATTAAGCCCCTTAATATTAAACCAACTCCTGTCATTCTAATCATCAAAACTCCAAGCAATGAACATAACCCTTCTGTTACTTTATCACAAAACTACTTCATAAGATAAACGTGTGCAACTGTTGGCTACCAGAGACCTCCAATGTTTACATAAGTTTACTTAAGTATAAAGTTGCACTTACTTTGGTCACAGTAAAAAACTCTCAAAACTAAATATTTGAAAACTTAGTATTATACTTGAAAAAGATACAAACATAATAAACTGAAACCAAAATGTGCCAAAACAACTATACATAAGCATTTCCCAAATCCTAAGCACTTTACAGATATAATGACCTTATTCTCACACATTATATGCAATCTGAAGACAGTTTCTAAACAAGCCCGTATCAACTGTATAAGAACATTCTTTCTCCATTTACGATGCCCTCTTTTACCTTATTTCCATTAAGATACTTCATAGAATTTATCCCTTTGTGCCTCAAATATACTCTTAATCACAAATCAGTATGAATCATTCTATGATATTCACTTTTAACTAATAAAAAATTAATCACAGCCTTTAAAGTAAGTAAAAATGTAAGCAGAAAAATCAGAAGATTAGTATTTAGGCAAGATTTAGTATTTTAATTAAAAGGGCAAAACATTCACAAACAAATGATATATTTGGCCACTAGAAAAAATATTAGCATTGTTGAAAAATAAAAACCAGGCAAGAATATTTAGAATTCAAAGTTGTTCTATTATAAAGGAGAAAATCTGGTGAGAAACTATTACAGGTGAAATAATCAGTTAGTGATACATAGCAACAGACTGTCATTGCTCAGGTCATCACAAGATTTTGTAAGATGACTTGTTACACATGCAAGAAATCACTGTCATGCTATCAATCAACTTGTATTTAAATTTTCAATTCCAATGGTCAAAACCATATTTACAAATATGGCATTATTTTAAACCTAGTCTTTGATTTAATATTCTATTAGGCCAAATTTTTTCTGAATTTCAATATTTACATTTAGCTGTTAAAAAAAAAAACCACAATTTTACCTAAAAAGATTTTTAAAGTTTATTAATTGATGTGCTACATAATTAGCAACAACAAATCCACTTACTTTTTTCTCTTTCTCATGATGTTTATCCTGAGAGTGAGAGGAAGAATCACTTAAACTTTGATCATATGACCTATTAGATCCCCGTTTGCTCTTTTTCTAAAAAAGAAAATATATACATATGTATATATGTATATAAAAAATCCACTTTTTTATTTAGGTTTAAACTACTTTCACTATAAAATGTTTTTAAAGGTCTAAAGTTTTTTTTAAATCAGTATTTCAATATACACAATAAAGATTAAACACAATCCACTGCATTACAAAGAAAAGAATTAATTCTAAATTTAATATCAATGCCATATTTTTGCATATTTATTAAGATGTGTGAAAATAATCCAGGCATAGTAGCATATATGTTTAATCCTAGCACTTGGGAAGCAGAGGCAGGGAGATCTCTGAATTCAAGGTTAGCACGGACTATAGAGAGAGAAAACATTCCAAGGATACACAGACTCTCTGTCCTCCTCCCCAAAACTATCAAAACATACCTTTTTTGAAATAAAGTACTACATTCTCAAAGTTCACTTTAAAAAAAAAAAATAAAGAAAAGCTTTAACAACAGACACCATGTTAAGGAAGAATGCCTCTGGGGATAGTGGCACACACCTGAAATCTCAACACTTGGGACACAGGAGAAAAATAGATGGCAAGCCTGGAAGACCAGGAAGTCAGCATTTACAGAGTTACTTTATGCCAGTAATAAAGCAGGAAACATTGACTTTCAATACTGAGAAAACCAATTCTCAGAAAGCTCTACACGTCATGTATTAACAAATGAAGACACATCCGTGTCAGAGCCATGCATTTTTTAAAGTATTGCTAAAAACATTATACATATTTCTTCTTTAAAATATAAAACTTCATGATACAGTTTGAAGGTGGCACCATAACTAATTAGTTTTAAACTGGTTTTTAACATGACTGTAAGCAAGTTCAAGTTGTATGCAAGTTATATTTACTAACCAGATTGACTTTTTACATCTAGCAAATAGGATTACATCAATAATTAATAAACTAATAAATTAATAAAAATCTAGTTGTACAAATGTCAAAATGATTATATTTATTTAGTCTCGTGCAGCCAGGCAGGCCCTCTCACCTCAACCCCTCCCTCCTCTCAAGTGCTGGCTCAGTAGGTGGTGTCACAAACATGCCACCAAACCCAGCCTCAAACTTTTCAATTTTATAATATCTAAACTTCATGCAAATAGTTTGTTTCTATCAGCCACTAAGATAAGTCAGTCATCAGCAAACACTGATAAAGACACACACTTTTAGGTATAGTCATGCATCATTTAATGAGAAATACTGGAACAACATGCTATGTTAGAACCACTAGTTATATGACTCTACCTACATACTGAAGAACTGAAAAACAGTAAAAATATGTATTTTTCAAAAGAAAATGGACATAAGTACTTAAAATCCAAAGTTTCCAACTATGAGCTAGAGAGACAGTAGTTAAGAGCTCTTTCAGAGGATCTAAGTTCAGTACCTAACACCCACAGGGGCTCACAACCCAATACCAGGGGAACTCACATCCTCTTCTGTTTGACCTCATAGCACACATGTGGTGCACACACAAAAGGGTGGTATACACACAGGTAGGCAAAACACTAACACATAAAATTTCAAAAATTTTAAAAACAATAGGCTGCAAAGGCTTCTAAACATTTCCACAATCGATGCAAGACTGACTTTTGTAACCATGAAGTCTGACTAAAACCTCAAAATCTTTCAAACATGGGTCTAAATAATATCTTTTATCAAAGTCTCTAATCAAGTTACAAAACAGCCTCTTTTCTACTTTACTATACCCTCGTAAATGAAAAGAGAAAAATCAAGTCTATAACAAAGAAAATGGGTGAGACCGGGGCAACAGGAAGATGAGGCCAGTGACAAAAATCCTGAGTAGGAACAGGAAGTCAAAGCAACTGAAATATTAAAATAAACACTTTCCTAAAAATTAAAGTTTTCACTAAATGGTATCTGCTATCAATTACTAGTATATACTCTGATCTATAATATTGTAGTAAAACAGAATATTTTTTAAATGATTGGTTCTTTCCATTGTCAATAAAGAACAAGCTAAATGTCTTCCCATACTCCCCCATCCCCACCCCCAAGACAGGGTTTATTAATTACTCTGTGTAGCACTGGCTGACCAGAACTCTGTAAACCACACTGGTCTCAAACTCACACAGATCTGCCTGCCTTTACCTTCCAAGTATTGGGGTTAAAAGCGTTCACCACCCACCACCCAGTAAGCTAACTGAATTCAATCTTCACTGAAAATCAAGGAAAACCTGTGACTATGTTCTTATTTTATGCCCTTTTTGTGGTGATATCACCATCTTGTCAAACTCAAGTGCTATTTAATCTTGAATTGAAAACCGCTCTTACCAGCTTACTAAAGTGGTATTTACAGTAACCACAGTACTGGACATTGTCTGCACCATTCCCTTCTTCTTCACAAAGCAGCCCGGCAAACTGAGCACTGCGAAATAAACACCAAAGTTGTCAATACACCTCAAACCATGACATATTTAGGCATAGAAAATTAACTTTTTGACACCTGTAAGACAATATAAAGGAAAATGGGATAAGATAGGGGCCAGAAGTCTAACTCTACTGGGAACAATCTGCTTTACTTCTTTAGTATGTGCAAGGACCTACTTACACCCCTGTTCCCTCACAAAAGGAAGGAGACAGAAAAGCTCTACTGGAGCTGTGGCCAAGGATATTTCACCTCCACTTGCAATTACTTTATCATTCTTTAAAATTATGGTTATATTTACAATAAATTCTTCATCTCTCATGAATAAAGATGTATCAAAATTTTATGTCACCAAACAGCAATTAAGTTGCTTTAAAAGTTGCATATAGGGGCTAGAGAAATGGCTCAGTGGTCCAGAGCACTGACTGCTCTTCCAGAGGTCCTGAGTTCAGTTCCCAGCAACCACATGGTGGCTCACAACCATCTGTAATGAAATCTGATACACTCTTCTAGTGCGTCTGAAGACAGCTACAGTGTACTCATATAAATAAAAATAAATCTTTTTTTAAAAAGTTGCATATAATGAATGACACACGCCTGTAATCCCAAGTGCTCAGGAGGACTAGTTGAGCTTGAAACAAGCCTAGATAACAGTGAGAGCCTATGAAAACAAAGCAACAGTGTTTTATTAAGATAATTGTAATTTTAGAAAATATTAAAAAAATAGTGATATAAAAACAGCAAGAGGGGCACAGCTAAAAACCTTTTCTCTTTACAATTAGTAATTTTCAATTTTAAAATCAATATTGGTGCAAATTATGATCATGCCTCACTAAAGGTCTGAAACAGCAATGTGGTGATGATTACACAGATGCAAACAATGTACTTTCCTTCTGTGGGATAGTTCTAGGGTTTCTCATATGTGAGGCAAGAATATTACTACTAAGTTATACTACTACCCCCTTTTATTTGTTAAGTCTTTATTCGTGAATTCGGTGTGTATTTTTGAGGGGTACAACCCTGGACTGCATTTATCATGTCAGAGAACAACTTAGGAGAGTTGGCTTTCTTTCCACTATGTGGGATCCAAAGACTGAACTCTGGTCATTGAGCTTAACAAGCAAGTACCTTTCCTTGCTGAGCCATTTCACCAGCTCTTTTGTATTTTAAAAAAACATGCCCCTTCTCATGAGCTCATCCAAAGTGGCTTTGAGCTCATTCTATAACCCAGATAGGCCTTGAATTGGCAATCTCCCTCCTCTAATTCCTGAGTATCAGGTATTGCATGATTTTGCCACCAGGCCTGGGTAAAACTTCATCAATTTAAAAGGAAAAATTCTTTTCAATTCTTACATGCTTCAAAATCACAGCACAGTAAGCAAGATCAACACATGCTGTTTTGGTCAAAAACAAAAAAAAGAGGGCTGGGATGTAGCTGGGTCAGTGTTTTTACAACATCCACAAGGTACTAAGTTGATCTGATCCTCAGCACTGAATAGAAAGCCTATTCCAGAAACATGCATTGTAATGATACATGGGAAGGTTGATATTTAATTTCATGTTACATAACGCGTTTGCCAATTGTATTTCTTTACAATGATGGAAACATACCATGTTACATGGAAAGCCTGTCGACATCCATGTTTATTACATGTCATGCAAGCACCAGTGGCTGCTTTGCTTTCTCTTCCTTGTTCATCACATATATAGCAAGTCTTGGGATAAAGAGAACAGAACAGAAATGAGACAAAAATCACAGACATACTTAATTATGAATCTGCATTTTACTGCTATCTTCAGAAACTGACACCAAATTTTTTATCTAATCTTCTTTACTGAAGAGGGTGAGTTCACAACACAGTTTTCATTAGCCTTTCACTGGACTCACAAACCCTGCCAGACAAGAGCCCTCTTCTTCACTGGCACTGAGATAGGATATGATTTATTCCATATCCTATGGGATAAAACATGTGAGTGAACTTAAGGATACTTCAACTCTCCACAGTAACAACTAATGCCCAATAACATGATATGTTGAAGTAGAACACATGTTCGCTTAAGAAATCATAAATTCTTTAAACTGCAGCAATTTTAACTGCCATTTTGTTCATTTCCCATGTAAAACTAGGCTTTCCCAGATCAAAATCATGGGTGGCCATTTGATAGAAACTTAATTACAGAAATACTGTTTTACTATCAGCAGTATATAGGTAAGTAAAATAAATAGCCAACCAGAAGTTGATTACACAAAGACCAATGTCCAACTTCTGTAATGCCCATAAGGGGATTTTAAGAATCAGAGGGAGGTTAAAAGAACCACAACAACTTCAAAGCCAGACAAGATTACATAGCAAGTTCCAGGCTAGCCTGAGTTAGATAATAAGACCCTGTTTCAAAATAATAAATAGGTTATCAGTTCTTCTTGAAAGGAAACATTTAGAATAATATAATTTATAATAATAACAATGAGTCACGCGCATATGATGCCAGCTCTAGGGAAGCAGGCACAGGAAGATCTCTGGGGCTTGCTGACCAGGCGGCTCACCTGCCTAGCCTACTCAGCAAGCTCCAGGTAGGTTAAGAGACCCTGCATATAATAACAAGATGGATGGCACCTGAGAAATCACACCAAGGCTGGCAACTGGCCTCTATGCATATGTACTGATAACTTAGGTATAGTCACAACTGTACAGTACAGTACAGTTCACTACAGTACACTACAGTGCACTACAGTACAGTACAGTACAGTGCACTACAGTGCACTACAGTACAGTTCACTACAGTACACTACAGTGCACTACAGTGCACTACAGTACACTACAGTGCACTACAGTACAGTACAGTGCACTACA